TACACGAAAACCGAGCCTAAAAATACACGGATTCTTGGTTTTGCGGTATGGGTTCATGGTCAGTCCTTCCTCCTCCACCTCGTCTTCCGCCCCGTCTAACAGGCCTTGACGCATCATGGGCCGTTTTTCCGACGAATGGAGCATTTTCCCGTTTTATGCATCCTTCAAACAGTTTTGGCCCTTGGTTATGGACAAATGTGAATGGAACAAGCACCATCAACCAGCCACAGTATCCCTTCAGCAAAGAAGTAGCCATCGTGCGCCATCGTGCCTCCGTCGTCATGACAACATTTTGCTTGGCGCCAGGTTAGTCAAAGACCAGTATTATTCGCTGGCGTGCGTTGGCTCGAATGAGTGCTGCGTTAGGCCGCGGTGGGAGGTAGTTCTTCCTCGGTAAATGTTTCGTGTTCCTCCGTTATGAAAAGTGGCATTTATGTTGAGGTTAATTTGTTATTTTGAATCTCGTGCGTATGCATTTGTGCCCCAGCGTTTTTTGCCGAGACAAATTACAGCCTTTGTGCCGCTATTGAGGTTTACAACAATTCCTTCAATTCTGCATCTCAAGCAGATGCATGATGGGGAATACACTGTTGCCACTTTTGTGAAATGCGTACCTTCATAGAAAGCCTGAAGTGACTATTGATTTCAATCTGAGGCATTATGGTGTGCTTATACACACTACCATTATTTGGAATGGATGTGCAGATGTTACACCCTGCAAAATGCAGCAAATAATTTAGCATGGTCCATGGTAAAGGAAATTTCATGCAAGTGAAAAGCCTTCATGTTATTTTATCTCTGTGGTTTGAGCATTAACAAAGACAAGAGCATGTCTGTTATGCTTTCCTTTCAATATGAAAGGCAGATTGCTGCCTTGCTTTATATATCTTGGGAAATTACTGAAGTGAACAGAAATGAGTATTTAGTAGACACATTGGATGGTGTGGGTTGAACAGATGCAGATGGTCTTCTAAATATTCTTTTTCAACCTAAATGGATTCCATTCAGCACAGTTAGGTTAGTGTTGTATTTTTATAGGTTTGGAGAACCAGCCACACTATCAATCAGTCAGTCCACTGTTGGAGGCAGGTACTAGGCTCCTTTTGACATTGTGTTTGAGTAGCTTTTTCCATGTCTTGTTTGATTGAATTGTGCTGTGGGTCATGCACTCATGCATTGGGGCTTTGTTCATAAATTCAAGTGCAGATTTTGTTTGAAGCTTGAGGTAGGTTGATTTTGGTTGGTATATTATGAGCACAGATGACTAGGGTATCCATGTTAATTGGTGTTGTTACCTGTATTCCGTTGTGTTTTGATTTGCTTTACTTCATGTGTCTACAGTGTAATGATTCTGCATTGCCCCTCTCTTTGCTCTTAAATATCTTGGCACATTGGTTGACTGTGCCAACAGTACCTGATTGTTTCTGCCCAAATGGTTCTCCTGCTCATAAAGCATGTTGATGAGATACAATTTTTGTATGAGACAAGCACATCAGAGACATTGGATGAAACAATACCAGTTGTTACTGCAATCTTCAATGGCAGACTTAAAGTGCAAAGGCTTTGTGCAGGTAAGGAAAAGTGTTTACTTTCAATGTCTTTAATAGCATCTGTGTTTTGATCATGTAAAAGCATATTGTTTAAGCAGTACCAGGTACTTTTTGAGCTGGCTTTGAATGTTCATATTGGCTAGAACTTCACTAAAACAGTAGCAATAACATTATTCCTCAGAGAAAACAAACTAGGAGAATGGAGAAATAGATTGGTTTATATTTTGGCAACATGCCTTTATTGAAACAATAGCAGAAGTGAATTCAGAGTTGCCTGCAGATTATGCTACTCGATTTGGCAGGCTTGTTATTGAAACAATAAGTCACACTTTTATAAGACACCAAAATTCTGGGGACTAAGCAAGAAGTGATTGCCAGATGTTACCAGGGCACAATGTATATCTAAAAATTAGGATACGCGAAAATACGTGCACGTGCAAAACAAATTCAAGGAAACAGGCACCACACATCGCGCTTCATTCAAATGTGCAAGCGAGTTGAAGTAAGCAGGCATCCCATATCGCGCATCAATTATACATGCAAGCGATTTCAATTGAACAAGCATTGCGCATCGCGTGCCAGGCATCGCTTACACATGTAAATAATTTCAAGCCAGCACACACACGCATAAAGACACATCACGTTCGCATAATGGGCCGTGATGAGCCCCGTACGTTAAGATTTGGTCGTCTAATTTTTAGTAAGAATATACTCACTAATATTTCTGTCTGGGTGGTTCTGTGCTCTGCAGATGACTTTGAGTCGTAAAAGGGGCATAGAGTCCATACCGTTCTTGATTTCAGGCTGAGTGTGTTTTGCCAGAAAATGGTCACCAAACTGAGTATTCCCTTTTTTGGTTTTAGCGTCTCGCAGGTGTTCATTATGTCAAACGAATGGGGCGCCTGGGCTCCCCGACATAGAGTATGCCTCTCCCATGTTTTTCACACAGTTTGCACCTGATTTCGTAAACCACGTCTTTTGCGTGCAAGCCCCTCAAAACCCAGACCTGCATAATGACATCTATTGCCACCCGGGCACTTAGGCTTCCGAGATTTGAGGAATATAGCCGTATTCGCGGGATAAGGTTATTACTACTGTGTTCTCTATGTGAATAATGCTGTTCACGAATGCCCTGAAAAGCTTTCGCAATTTCGGCTAGAACTTGTAGCATTTGATGGGGTGTACTGTGTACATTTTTTGCTTGTGATTGGGACAGTGCAGGAAGCCACATTCACGGGCGTTGGGGGGCTGCACATCATTACAAAAGCTATGCCTGCAGCATCAACAGACAAGCACACACAGAGCTTCGCTCTTCTCCGTGCATCGCGCCACCTCTGCGAGCTTGCCGTGTCCGCGGCCCGCCCCACCCGGCCCGACTCTGCCGACAGAGCTGGCCGAGCTACGGGAGCATGGCATCGCGCTGCCGCCGGAGATGGTCGGTCTCACGCCCGACCAGGTGGAGGAGCTGAAGCTGACGGACGCGCAGGCCGACGTCTGCGTGCCCTCCGGCGGGTACGAGCCGTGCGCCGACCCGATCGGACGCCGGAACGGCCGCGCGCCCAAGGAGAACATGCGTGAGGTGTTGCGCAAAACCATGGCCGAGGCCGAAGCCATCGTGAGCAAGGTACGGCGCCGGATGGGACTGTCGGGTGAGATAGGGGCTGACTAGCTCTGCACGGGTAATGACAATGAAGGAAATAGTAGGTCACATTTCATCCCAACGTCTTTACTGGGCGCCAGTCTGTCTAAGCACGGCTTTATGTGCTCAGGTATTCATGCAGTTAAAAGGCTCAAAGTAAACCTTTTTAAAGCATTCTTTGCAAAGTCGCATCCGCCTTTGTTGCTTCCCTACTTCATGTGACATCTGCTGTCACATGTTCACCTGACACTCCACGCCGTTACCTGCCGTCCCAACGGCACACTTACAGTGGCCAACGCCCTGACTTCGTTCCAGAGCCAGGCGAAGGCCGGCGTGTGCTTGACGGAGAGGATGGTGGGCGAGGCGCTGTCTCTGCTGAAGGGAGCTGTCATGATCGTCTACCCCATGGGCCTGCCACCCTACGATCCCGTCCGCATGGAGGTGGAGAATCGGGAAGATCTGAGCGGGACACAGGCTTCCCAGCAGGTAAGACCATTTGAACTCACCTCCAAGACTCATGCTGCACTCGAAGTGGCATAATGATGCTGGTATGTTGCACTTGCAAATTCGCGCGTTTACATTAGAGCGCAAACGGATCTGCGCAGCAGCTTTGTAAGCGTGCAGTTCAGAGCACGGGCGGCGCCCGTACGCCCAGCTGCCCAACTGATGGCGTGATGCCATCATGTCACCATCATCGCACGTCATCATGCGACGGCTTGGGGAGCGCCGTCGTCCCCGGTGTGGCGGCGCTTACCTGACGGCCCGCCGTGGACGCCAGGTGATGGACCCGGTACTGGCGCAGCTATGGTTCTCCGGCAAGGAAATGCTTCGAGGCAAGAAGCTGTCCGATTACGTCGGCAAAAACGAGAAGACAAAGCTGGTGGTCAAAATGCAGAAGAAAGGTGGGCATTGGAGCAGCTGTGTGACAACAACGAATGAAAAGGCTGATGCCCGCTCGTGTTGGCAAAAATGTCACCCAGCCGGCTGAACAGTCTCATGTGTTTCGATCTCATGATGTTCTTGGGCCTCAGGCGCATGGGCTGCGAGGGGTCATGCGGCGCAGACCTGTTTGCTATTGGTGACATAAACATTCCCAATGCTTGAGTTATTTTGTTATTTCGTAGTCGTAGTTGAACCAGACTGCATTTCATGTGCCCGTGTCAGCTCTCCCCGGCCTCGCCATGATTATATTCGTGTCCTTCTAATGAATCTGTTTAAGTACTTATTTTTGAGGAACTAATCCTTGCTTTGGACGAGCAGCAGCTGCTTATTATGCCGATTGTTGATCAGTTTGGAGGCACGTTCTAGAAGTGCTGGTAGTGAACGCGAGGAATACTTCGCCTGCCGAAGAATGCTGATGCCAGATGCAATCCAGCTGCACCATCATTTCCTCACCATTGCGGGGGACGGGGCAGGCGTCCCCCGTTATTGACCGCGCCTGTACTGGAAGTGCGTAGTGGACTGGTGGTGGTCCTGTGCGCTGCCGACAGGTCAGGGAGCGCCCGGCCGGGAGCCGCTCATGACCGAGGAGGAGCAGAAGCGGCTGATGGCGGCCGAGTACCGGCGGCAGGAGGAGATCAAGGTCAGTGGCCTGCTGGGCTCAGGGATCAGGGGCTCCCGGTCAGGCGCGGTCAGGCCTGTCGTTTCAGGTGGCCGGAGGATGGTCGTCGCCGCCGCCGGACGTCCGCTGCTGCCGTGCTCGTGGCGGGGTCGGTCTGCGGCAGCGCAGCGGCTACGGTCGCCACACACCGGGCTCAACACTCGGGTGAGTGTGCTGCGTTGTTTGTCGCTCATAGGAGAACACAGGCGGAACTCTTCAGCTCATGTACTGTTGGTATCGTATTGCCTTCGGACGTTTGATGAAAAAGTTTACGCCATGATCGAACTGACGTTCACAAGCGAATCGTAAACAGGACGGGCTTCGCTCACAGGAAACCCGTTCAAAGCGCATTAGATGACTAGTGAGCATGCGGGTACGTGCGAGAACTTCAGGAAACAGAATATTATGTACATTGCGCGCGGGTATCACAGTTCACAAAGACGTGTGCCATATCTCCCATTGACCGTAAGACCGCATTCCGGTTCAGCAGCTCATATATCTGCTGATACCAGTGGCATGCATGAGTTCAACTTCTAAATATTCTGATGAACAATCCACATAGTTTAGGTGCAAATAAAGCAGTGCGATTTCCATTTTACTACCACCGGTGGGCTGTTCACAGCACACCACAGTGTCTGTATGTCACCGACGCTGTTGGTCGCTAATACTGTACGCGTCCTGCCTGCTCCGCGCTGTTATGGGCCCGTTTTGTCCGTGACATCGGCGTGAGGGCAGGAAAGAGCACACGCTTCTTGGAATGATCCACGTCTCCACGCGCTGTAAGCAGAGGTCTGCCTGATAACGTCGCGTATCACCGAGTACAAGCAGGGTGACACACGGGGCCGGCCAAGGGCCGATGAAGTGCGCGCTGTGCGTTATTTGCGAGGCCGATGTCGGCTTTGAAGGCGAGCTTCGCTTCTGAAACGGAACTTCGACCTATCAGAAACAGCGTTAGTCGTGACCAGTCGGTGCACGCAATTATAGTGGGCGTGCCCCGAATGCCGGAAGGTCGAACGCATTCTAAACCGTCGACGGTATGCTAAAACAACCTAGCGCTAGCAAAACTAACGATACGTTGTCTCCAACGACCACCAGAGGCGCCAGTGTCGACTTTGTACTGCCTGCCGTCGCCGCTCAAAGGGCTAGTCTCTGTCTGCCGGGGACTCCTCCATCCCGCGCGAACATTAAATGAGGCACGCGGGCGCGCAAACTAAGGCACAAAATGCACTGTAGGAAGGTCGCGCGGCGGGGTGCAGATGCATCACAGATAGGTTGCCAGTGAACGCGACCGAGTTTTCCGGACGCTGCGGGCGGCGGAGGAGACCGATCCGACCCCAGGCGTCCGACTGCCGGTGCTGGTCAGCCGGTCGGCCGCTGGTGCTGCTCAGCCTGTCGGCCGCTGGTGCTGCCCGGGCCGCCGCAGTGCTCCGACCCGCTCCTACTTGCTGATGTCGATGTCGGTCGCCATGGAGACGGTCACTTCCGGCGGCAGCATGGCCAGTCTGAAACGAAGTGGGCGGTCTGTCCCGCGCCCTGCTCACTTGCCTGAAGAATGAGCACATCTGATAAAGGACTGCGCGGTGTCAACTACCGACCGCAGTGACTTCGATGCGTTGTGTACGTGCTGACACGTTACGTCCGCGGTCGGGTGCTGTTTTAAGTTACATGCTGTCGGCATGAGCACCGAGCGCTGAGCAATCGAAGCTAGACACGACTGACGGGAGCGGGCGGCGGCGTGCGCCGGGGCGGCAGACGCCACTCACTTGTCGTCCTCGCCGGGTATGGGCAATTGCGGGCAGGAGCGCTTGCAGCAGTCGCAGTGGCAGTACAGGAGCGTGCCGATGGAGATGAGCAGCGCAAGCGACGGCACCACGGCCGCCATCACCAGCGCGTACATCACCTGCCCGTGGTCGTACTGGAATATGACCAGGTCCTGCTGCTGGCCGCTCGGATAGCAGGGGAATGGGCCTAGCCGGAGCTTGGTGTCGTTGACCGTCTCGGCGCTGACTTTCTTCACACCGAGCACGCTGCGGAAGAACTCGGTGCAGTTGAGCTGTGGTGGGTAGCCGCAGCCCTGGATGTTGATGCGCAGCGGGGCTTCGCTATCGGCCCATATCTGCTCGCCGTAGCCTTCCGGGTCGGCGACAAACTGGCGGTACGGCACGCTGGAGACGCTCGTCCACAGCTGGACGCAGTAGGTGAGCGGGGCGGTGCAGCCCTCGCTGCAGGACGTCCAGTTGCAGGCCGAGAGCTGCTCACCCACGCGCACCTGGCTCAGCTTGCAGGCCGCCGGCTCCTCCGGAAAGTCGGCCGAAAGCGTCGAGATGGCCGGGTCGAACACGAACGGTACCAGAAACAGCAGCGCGAAGAACGAGAAGATGGCCACCACGCTCATAACGAGCGTGACGTAGTAGCGCAGGCGCGCCAGCGGGTGCGGCTTCTTCTTGGGCATGGTGGCAGCGGGCGGCGAGGCGCACACTAGACGTGACGCCGAGACATGCGCGGAGCCGCGGGACCGCCCAGCAGGCGCGTACGCAGAACGGAAGCGAGTGGGAGGGGCAGGGACGAGACCAGGCGCCCGCGGCAGACAGGCGAGCGCGGCGCACGACAGGCAAAAGTCGGCTCGGGGAGGAGCGGCGAGGAAAGCGAGCGGGCGAGGCGGACAGAGGCGATGACGTCACTCGTCCTCCAGGCTGAGCAGGTTGGCGGACTCTTCCCCGGGGCTGGCACTTCTGTATGGTCGCCGGGCGCTGTGTCAGAGGCTGTCCAGATTGGGCTTCTCTGCAACAGACCGCGCCGTGTCAGAGACTGCTCCAAGTTGAGCCGCCTGCCAGAGATAGAGACATGTCGGAAGCAGGCTATGTCTGGCTTGCCCGCCGCATAATTTTTGTTCTAGTGCCGGACCTCTGTAGAACAAACTACCAGGCAGAAACGTCCAAGCTGTGCTCTGCAACAAACTGCTGTGTCATAAGCCAGCCAGGGAAGTGGAAATTCACTTCAACATCATGCTATGTCAATTTTCTCTGAAATGCATCGTTGCGTGTCAGGAGCTGTAAAAGTTAGGCTTCCCTGCAACTGGCTGCGCCGTGTCAGAGGCTGTCCAGCTCGGTGGTCTGAAAGAGGCTGGGTTGCGTTAGAGGCTCTCGAAGCGAGGATTCTTCATGGGTTGATGCGGTTGTACAAATCGCCGCTCGGTAACAGGCGCGCCTGGCTCCGAGACAATTCGAGTTGTGCCGGCTGTGAAGCGACGAAGCTTCGCCGGCGACCCGTGCTGCGATCAAAGGCTGAAATTTTAAGGCGCCATTAGTTGGTATGCAACCATTCATTATGCCAGCAGTGTTTGCAGCGATGCATAGTTATGGAACGTAGTAATTGCATCGTTGATGCTGCAAGACACGCTGCATGGGTGGTGCGAAATTCTTACCCATGTAGTGAATGTGGTGTTGCATTTAGGCTCATTGCATGTGTCCATGCCGCAGATGTGCTTAATATTTATGATAATAAAGATTAGGCGATAGGTTGATGATGATATGTGCATTGTCCGTGATTCGGAAACGAATTATTGCGGTGTGGTTTATCGAAAATGAAAGCTTCTGGATGCAGTGAATTTGCAGGAATGCTTTAACTCTTCTACATTAAATGAACTTTGCTGTAATATGTTATCGTACGTCATCACGGCTGAGCTATATCTTGCCTTTTGGTACTGAGGCAACATTCCGTACGTTACAATTTCGTGGTCGCCGTAGCTGCAGCAAATTACGGTTTAATAAACAAGTTTGCGTGAGTGGACAAAACATTGCGGGGTAATCCGTTTTTAAAGCAAGCGCTTATGCTGAATGCTGCCAACATTTGTACCATATATGGAATGTCGTGACTGCTTTTTCACTAAAAAGGTTAAAACAAAGATCATCAACAAGTTATCAGGCATTAAGTGCGGCAGTCGTCCAAACCGGCGTTGCTATGCATCTTGAATGCAACCGCCTCATTTCTGAGCAAACGGCCCTTACAGTGAGCTCTGAACGTTATGAAGGAAGTGCATCGGGTCAAAGCGCGGGACCAAACTCAGGCAGAAGCCGTGCCAAGTGCCAGCCACGCTCATGGCTCGCCAGGGCGGGCGGGCGCCGTGCGGGGCGGGCCGCTGGAGGGCGGCCGGTGCCGTCCCGGAGTCGGGGGCAGCTCTGGCGGCCGGACGGCGCCGGTCGATGCGCGAGCCCGCCGTCAGTGGACGGTACGGGCTGTGACCTTGCCAGGCGGTGCGCGTGAGATAGAGAGGCAGAGATAGAGAGACAGAAGAGAGGCAGGGACCCGGTAGGGTCGGAGCAGACCCGTGCTGGCCGAGACATGAGGGTACTGTACTTGGTCACGGCGCGCGTAGCTTCGCCGGCTCTTTACCTCCGTCGCCATCTTGCTTGTGACAACGGCTTACAGAAAAACAGACCGAACTCGTTGACGCCGACCGTCTTGCCGCACAGGCAGAGGCAGAAGCAGGAGAACAGGAGGAGGCAGCTGGGCACGGCCGAGGCCATCACCAGCTGGCTCACGGTCGCCTGGCGGTCGTAATCCGTGATCACGTAGTTGGTGGCGTGCGGCGTGATGAAGCACGGGTAGACGGCCGGATGCATGCCCTCGGAGCCGTCCCTGCCCTTATGCGCCAGCCAGGTAGTGCACTCCTTGCGCAGCGTGTTGACGCAGCCCAGCACGTTGATCATGACCTTGGTGCGGTTGAAGATCTCCACCGTCTTCTCGCTGGGCAGGAACGACTGGTCTTCGAATAGCGGCTCCTCGTTGCGCTCTAGCACGCCCAGCATCTGCTTGTAGTTGGTGATCTGGCGGAAGCTGGGCGCGTCCATGAGTGTGCCGTTCAGACAGTCCTCCGCCTCCATCTCGGTGGCAGAGACGTTGCGGATGCGCGTGCAGTACATGGAGAGCGGCTTTTGTTGGTCGGTCCAGATGCGCGTGCCGTTGGAGAAGGCGGAGCGGCAGCGGCCCCAGTGGAAGAGATCGGGCGTCACCACGGCCATGTTGCCCATGTCCAGGTTGGAGCAGCGGTCCACGCACGTGGGGTTTTCCAGCTTCTTGCAGTTGCCGGTGGAGCACTCGTAGATTCCGTTCAGCGCGTTGCACGTGTATCGCGTGCAGACGTGGATTTCCTTTTCCTGCGTACCGTCCGGCTTGGTGCCCCTGCAGTCGCGGATGGCGGTGATGTTGCGGCAGAGTGACGTCATCTCCGTCTTGATGTCATCAGCCTTGTTCTTGATCGGCTTGCAATCCATGAAGCGGTCTAGCGCGTCGCACTGGCCCGTCTTGTCCTCGCCTTCCGAGCAGATGAACTGCTGCGTTTGGTTGTACTCTTGTGCCGAGCAGAATGTGGCACGCACCGGGTCACAGTCCCGAAATGACACCGCGCTGCCCTCCCGCCGCACCTTGGCGTGGATGATGGCGCAGGTGGAGCCGCCCTTCGATATGCACCACTCACCGCACGACAGCACCGAGCAGTTGGTGCTGTTCCGCATGTTTTCCAGCGTAGTGCAGACGACTGGCGTCGACTCGAACTCGGCGTCCAGCGTCTGCTTGCTGGGCGACACGACGATGACGCTCAGGTAGAGCAGCGCCACCCCCGACAGGATGGACACCAGCTGGCACAGGCAGATACAGTTGCACAGCCGCTTCTCCAGGCCATTCTGGTCCAAGCCGCCGGTGGGCGGCGGCGGCTCGTGCTTCTTCTTCCCCATCGCGCGGCAGCGGCTACCGACAGTGCGTCCCGGGCGCCGTCACTAGCGCCGCTCGCTGCTTCCGTCACCGGTGGCCTGTCGCTGGCACGGTCACCGCGTCACTGGTGCGGCTCGTCACCGGCGCGGTCGCGGGTCACTGGCGCCTCGTCACCGGCCGGCGGTCGGCGCCGCCCGTCGCCCGGCATTGATCGGGTCGCGGTCCGCTTGGGCGGCCGTTGTCATGGCGACGGTGGCGCCGCGGCGTCCGGCGGCCGCCTTCGAAACCATCGACCGTTTGCTCGGCTGTCCCGGCAGGAGCTCGTCGATGACGTCTTTGTTTCTGTCGTCTGTGGCGCTTCAGGGTCAGGCCGAGATTGGTGCTTTGGTCGGAGGTCAGGTGTGTCGAGGCCCTCCTTGGGTAAAACTGCCACGCGTGGCGCTGGGCTGTGCTTATGACATCGCAGAGCCATGTGCCCTGTTTGAGCGGTTTTCAATGACGGGACTTACTTTCAAGGGAGTGTCTTTCCGGAAGCGCTCACTGTCGTCTGTCTTCCTTCCTATTCTTAGCTTCCAGCCTGGTGATATCGATTCGCTGCTGTTGTCACTATTTGATTAGCAACACATTTTATTATTGCGTGACCTTCATGGGCTGGGACTTCGACAATTTGCCTCAGAGCAGTGAATATGTCAATTTTCAGCTTGAAGGACATTGTCGAATGTGGCAGCGCCTGTTTGTAGTTGGATCCCGCCGGGTGTCAGTTTTGCGAAGGCTCATGCTGTCTTCACGCTGCATAACTCGGCGGCAGTTGAGCCCGCCAGCCGTGGGCGAAGGGGACTTGTATGGAATCCCATACGTATCTTGCGACAGATATGTTGCGGACGGGATATTTGACCAGAAGTGGTCATCCTGGGGCGATGCAAACGGAGTACCGAAAGCTTAGCGGCCGTGCATTCATCGCGTTACGCATTTGCGGCCGCTTTCAATCCTTCTGGTTACGCGCTGGTTACACTTTGCATCCCCCTTCCCTCCCCTGTTGAGTCTGTGTTGAGGGTAACGGCGCCAAAAAGCAGCGTCGCTTCGGTCCGTTATTTGACCAGATGTGAAAACTTAACGGACGCGTTCCCTGACACGAAAGAAAACAAACAGCGTCCGGCTTTAAGGCGTGGATTTGTCTTCAATATTTTAGTAAGATACACAGCCACACTTAATCGTAACGTTTTGCGGCCGAAAGCCTCACATTATTCGTATGTTACGCTTCCGGTGCGTTTCATCGCCGCGCTCCATCCCGCTCCATGCGTGAGGTAATTTGTGGATGGCCCTTCGGTGGCCTTACTGGGTACCCGGCAAGCCAGAGGTTCGGGGTTCGATTCCCCGCGGTGCGCGCCCTTGTTGCCAGGGTGAGAGGCAGGCGACGCCATGTAGCCTCAGCTGTTGAGTGCGGTATGAAGCCCCAAGGACCAACCTGAAACGGTTGGCGCGCTGCTGCTAGGGGCCGATTGATGGCGGCACTCCCACCCAAACTTCCCGGTATGCCACATCAAATCGTCCAGTCGTGATGCCAAGCGAAGTAACGAACAGCGGCGATTTACGAAGCGCTCTTTATCGGACGCTGGTATGCATTCTGACGCCCGGAACGTCAATCAGCTTATCGTGCGGTCTCCGGTGTCCGCTGCGTTTATGCCACTAGGCTCGCTCACCTCACAAAAGTTAGTGATAGCGAAGATCGAAAAATCAGGATTATTTAAAATTCAATCTGTTGTAAAAAAGTCAATTATGGTAAACAATTAAACTCAAATATTACCGCCAATAACACGAGCATCAATATTGATTAATCAATAAAGCTCGATGACTTTTCAGGCGCCTTTTCAACAACCGGCAGTTCTATGGCATCAAATGCACCGGGTATATCGATGGACGAACGCGCGCCGTAAAGGCGGCCCGTAAATCACGGCCCGTGATTGGCCGGCTCGTTGACATACGCGCTCGGGCTGCCGCCGTCGGGCCGCCGGGGCCGCCCGGCTCGGTCCGACCACCTGCGTAATCCCCGGCGGCAGCTGCTGGGGAGGGGGCCATCGTGACGCCTGGTCTGCGTGAGCGGGCGAGAGAGCCCTGTCGAAGTTTGTCTGCGCCGATGGACATGCCCTGACCGCCTAACGACGCTCGTGGTACGGCATGCTAGGAGTTTTTCATCCCTCAACAAGCAGGTTTTGGTGTTTATGCCCGGCGTTTGTTTAAAATAGTCTGGTCAACCAGGCCCCGGATCTCGCTCATTGCGTAGCGACTGCATATTTTAGATCGGACATCCATTTCACGTGGTCCCACAAAAGTTGTTGCGGGCACCAGATGGCTGTTTAGCACCAAAATGCTGTTCTAACACCTATGTGACGACGTGGCACCATCCCTGGGAACGCCACTATTTTGATGTTTCTGGTAAGATCGAAGTCAAGTTTTCTGGTACAATCGAAGTAAGGTGTCAGAAAATGAGAGAGGTGCGGAATACAGCAATTCAGGCACCGTATATCGTAATTATTAAATTCAAGGTTAAGCTGGATATCCGGTAACATTCTGCATAATTACAGCATTGCAGGTGCCAGGCCCAGTAAACAGCGACAGCTCGGTATGCAGGTGCCAGACAAAAATCAGCTGCCAAATAAGGCTTTTCATGAGTGCAATGCGAATAATCCATGTTTTGATCTGCGCGTATGTGGCGCATATTGTCATTCTATGGTGAAAACACCCTCTTCCAATAAGCATGTGCCGTTAGAGCACGACAACGTCGTGCAGATTGCGCATGGTGTGCCCTGTAAGCATGGCAGCATGCTAAGCAACCTACGGCTGTCGAAACTTCCACCGTTGTCTCCCGATATGTAAACGACTTGGCTCCGTCCTACGGCGCCCAGGATATGTATCTTAACATGCAGATTGTTCACTCGGCAAACTGGCAACACGCAATCGCTGACACCGTTGTGCACGTTTTTCGATGAGCCTTAGCCCAGCCCACCCTTCACGAGGTCCTCATCATTAAAAACAAACTGTTGGATAGCCTTAACAAGGCCCCCCGCCCCCTTACGGCAGACCGCGAAGCAGCCACCTCTGTCACCACCGGCCGATTCTGTAGCATGTAATGTCTATCCGGCCCTCTTCGTGTGCGGGTACTGGTCAGCGGCCGAAAATCGGAGCAGACGAGTCTACTGAGCCCGGCGTTGACCGAGGTGCTGCGACAGCTGCGAGGTACTAGGGGACTTGCTGTGCCCCCCTCCCTCACCCCTCCGTCTTTCTGGGACCAGTCCGTCGATTTGGCCTATTCAGAGTGAAATTGATAGCCCGGGCTCTGGGCCTCACAATCAGAGCATTGGGCATCCTACTGCCTCGAACG